GGCAAAGGGAGATGCCCCCCCCTCTCTCTCTTAGGGGAAAGAGCAAGGTCATAAGCTAGAGATACTGAATATTGAACCCTAAACTAATTGGCCTCAATATTTGAAAATTCGGCTGGATGACTGTTGAAAAACATGCTAAATTGTAAAACAAAAGCCAAACTACCCCATAGCCATAAATAATGGGGCCAGACCAGGCTTGGCGTAGAATCCAAGGTTAGGAGGGTTAACACCCCCTACTCCACCCTCTGGAATACTCATACAGAGCCGCGTGTAGAAACTGTACCAACCAATAGCGTACCGAAATACACCCGGCTCCGTCCACAACAGAGGCGCATTTCCTATCCACCAATAGGGTCAGGATCTACACCCAATACTGCTTGGACCTAGAGCACAATATTCAACCAAAAGTGGAAACAAACACACTTAGAAAATGGGAAAGACCGCTCATTCTAATTCTAACCAGGATAAGAAAAGGACAGCAGGTACCCCCGGACTTAAATTATTTTAGACAGACGGACCCCAGTTAGTTAAATCTGTAGAAAATAGTTAGGTTACCTAGGTTGTAGGGTAGATAAAAGTCTCTAGACCTCTCCATCCTAGAATAAGAAAGTGAAAATATTTGTTCCATCTAAGTAGTTTCAAATTCAACTGAATCAGAAACTACTAGTTACTTGGGTTCATTGAATCCCTGTGACTGATACTAAACAGTTTAAATTCACTAGAATTAAAACTTAAAAATTCACTTGGGTTAATCCAAATCCCTGTGAATCATTATATAATAATAGTTCGAGTTCCACGGAATTAGAACTAAAGATCATTTGGGTTTCTTAACCCCCGTGATCAATTATATATAAATTCGGAATTTCAAGTTCACAAGAATTAGAAATAAACAAATAGACCGAGTTCCAAGGAATTAAGTCTCAACACTGTAAAGTCCCGAGTTCAATTGAATTAAGGATAAAAACAGAAAATTCAAAACCTCTAAAATATTCTCTTAAAAAGTTCTTAAGGTAACGTGAAAAGATTGACGATTTAATCAATCTTTAACAATGCCTGGAGATGAGAATAATCCCAACCTCCAACCTGCTGGAGCCTCAGCCAGGACGTTATCCCATCGGCGTCAGGAGTACAGCAGGCAGGAGGAGGGGTTCCAGACCCTACTCTGCAAGCAATAGGTAACCTCCAGACGGTGTATAACGCTAATGGAGGACCTCCTGCAGAGAGAGGGAGTGGGAGGGGTGGAGCAGAACAGGAATGGAGGGTTCAAAATGGAGGCAGCAGACATGCCTCCGGCCAGAACCCCCAAGATTTACCTGCTCCCCCTCCTAATCCAGCACAGGATGACCTTCCTGTCATCAATCTAGCGTCGAAGGAAGGGAAGTTCTCCGTGCTGGACAGACTGGAACCTCTAGGAATAGAGGAAGAAGATCATTATGTACCCAACCAAAACAAAATCCTGTTCAGCAAAACTAAATGGAGTTTTGATGGACAGGATAGTTTTGAAGATTATGTGGTACGGATCGGGGGATATGCCCGTACATTAGGAGTAGGAGAAATATGTTTTAAAAATACATTGTTTCAATCCTTCCGCCCTCCCTGCTCATTTATCGTATCAGATATGGAACCCTCTATGTCCATATACAGGAAGATGAGCAGGAAGGAATATGTACAGGCCCTCCATGAACGTCTAGAACCCGCCTCTGCTTGTGACCTCATTTATACTCAATTTAAAGAGAGAACGCAAAAAGCAGGGGAAGTATACGACCTTTATCTTCGTGATAAGTGTAATTTATTTATACGGTCATTTCCTAGCGGGAAAACTAGAATTTTCAAAGAATTCTGTGAATCCAGTATTAGAGGGTTACACAATGAAATCTTGAGAAACAAAGCTCGCGATTTCTTATCGATCCAAGCAATCAACGGTTTTAAAGTTGAAACATTTGATCAACTGAGACGAATCATTCATGTTTCAGTTGAAAACATTCAGGCTAGAACCATTGCAGGTGAACTTGATGCATCAGATGCAGTAGGCACTGACATCCGCCTCATGAATTACAGTTATACTAACGCTGCAAGTTCCCGCGAAAAAGAAAGGAAAAGCAGATATGAAGTAAACGTAATAAATGAGAGCTTGGATGAAGAAGAAATTGCAGCTTTAGAAGGTTTAAGAAATATCAAAATCAGACCGGTTTTAAAGCTAAAGGGATTAAAGGATTCACTGTTCCAGGGAGACAACCTGCTGAAGACGACATTTGCTATAATTGCAATGGTAAAGGTCACTTTAGCAGGAATTGTCCCCAGAACAATTTACCTGGACGTTATCAAAACGTCAATAAGGTAGAGAAATCCAACCCTGATACCTCTGATGATATTACAAGAGACCAGGATACTTCAAGCTCTGATTCTGATCTAGAAATAGATTATGTGAAAGAGAAGAAGAAACCTAAACCTAGCCAAACAAAAAGCAAGAAAAGTCGTCGCAACATCTATCAGATAGTTGAAGAGCAGGGTGAACAGATTATGTCATTAAACGCAAAAATGTCAGAAATTTGCACTCTGAGTTCACAACTATCTGAGCTGATGTCGACCATGTCGGGACGGAAGGGAGAAGTAAACACTCTGGGTGCTACTTCTGTATTCCCTCCAGACGTGGATGACATCAACAGAGAAGGTAATGATGACATTTTCGCTTTTTTATAGGTAGCTCATTATGTCGCAATAGACCGGATGTACACCAGAAATATGCATCTCTGGGGTACATCCGGGCTATGAAGAGTGGGTCCAGAGTCTTTATCAAAGCATTGATAGACTCTGGAAACCTCTTTGGCGATATAATGAGCGAGAGGTTAGCCAATTTACTAAAAATCAAACATAAACCATGTGCTAATAAAGCTGGTACTGCTGTTGCAAACCAGAAAGTACATGTGTTGGGTCTTGCAGATCCATTTGATTTAGTACTAGAAGGGTTAGATGATTCTATTACAATTCAGCCTTATGTAATCCGTTCTTTAAGTCATGATTTAAATCTTGGAGAACATTTTTTACGAAGGTATAAAGCAGGATTAAAATTTGAGGGAAATAAAGTGACCTTAAATTTAAATAATCATAGCTTGAATTGGTTAGCAGGTCCAAACCGCTAATTAGGAACTCTAAGGATCAAAGATTTATCAGTGTTATGGAGAAGGACAAGGAGTGTAGAAATATTATTACATCTATACCTGAACCTAATCCTAATTGTATTGAGGTTGATGATACTGCATTCTCGGTGGAAACTGTACATAAAACAGTACTACCTAAATACACATTAACATTTGTTGAAGTGTCTACTAAAATGAATGCAAAGGTTGGATTTTTTAAGTGCAAGGAAAACAATGCATTTATGAATTCCAACTTACTTTTGCCTTTGAATGGAATGTTTAAATGTGATAAAAACAGATTTTTTGTCCCAATATTAAACATGGGGGATAGAAACACAATTTTACAGTCAAAAAGAAGGATTGGAAATGTGTACCCCACTTCAAAAATGGACCCAAAGGCAGAAATCAATCAATCAACTAATCAATCAATCAATACACTAAGTCATAAACCTGTACTTGAATTGTCTAAAGAAGAAGTTCAAGAAAGAAGAGCTTTTCTAAAATAACAATTGGATGTCAAAAATATGATTATAAATCAAGATCAACAGGAACAAGTTATAGATCTATTTATGAAGTATTTCGACACCGTGTCAATTAGCGGCGATGATTATGGTTCATCAGACCTATTACAGTTCCACATAACCCTTTTACCTGGCTCACATCCTGTACGAGCTCGTTGCAGGCCATTAAATCCACTACAAGAACAGGACTTAAAGATCCAACGCGACCAGTGGTTGGCCGGCGGCGTCATTGAACCTTCTGTCTCTCCATGGGCGTCAGCGCTCGTCCCTTGTAAAAAGAAAGGGACAGGTCATCTTCGTTGGTCGATCGACTTTAGGTCGATCAATGATCGTACGATCAAGGATTCCTACCCTCTTCCATGTATAGAGACTAACCTACATAAGTTGGCTGGAGCAAAGATCTTTAGTTCGCTAGACACGGCGGGGGCCTTCCATTCGTTGACAATTACCCCGCAAGCCGAGACTACACTACCTTTGTTTCACCCTTTGGCATGTACAGATTCATTAGAATGCCCTTTGGCTTATCTAATTCCCATAGTGCCTACTGTAGGTTAGTCCTGATGGCGTTATTCAAACTTCCACCTGGGTTCGCCATCCCCTATCTGGACGACATCCTCATATATTCCAGCACAGTATCGGATCACATGCGTCATCTGGAAGCTGTGTTGAGAATCCATGCTGAGGTTGGTATGAAGATCAATCTCAGCAAGACCAAGATCTTGCGAGATCAGGTCACTTATCTGGGTCATCTGGTCAGTCATCAAGGGGTTGAAATGATTCCTGATTACATTTCTAAGATTCAACTCTGGCCTCTTCCTAAAACAGGGAAAGAGTTAATCAGTTTTCTGGGGTTTACCTCATACTACCGTGCATTTATACCTAAATATGCAGAAGTAGTAGCCCCGTTGAACAAATATAGAAATGAGAAAACCTTGGAATTAAACCCTGATGAAATATCTAGGATTAACCAACTTAAGGGACTGTTCCTGACAAAGCCAATTAGGGCTTACCCAGATTATAAATCTACAGAACCTTTTATCCTAGATACTGACTTTTCAGGAGTAGCAGCAGGAGGCGTTCTTTCCCAAGTACAAGGTGGGAAGGAACGCTTCATCGCTGCTTCTCCAAGTCCTTTGATGCAGCTCAGAAGCAGTATCCAGCCCACAAAGGAGAGCTGCTAGCTGTCATATTAGGGCTCCGGAAGTTTAAACATATACTCCGAGCCCGGAAATTCCTGATTAGAACAGACTCTTCAGCTATAACGTTCCTCAAAGGGCTAAAAGAAGCTTGGGGGATATTTGCTCAATGGTTAGTGTACTTATCATCTTTTGATTTAGATATTATGCACAGACCAGGGAAAGTAAATTTAGCTGCAGATGCTTTGTCCAGGACTGAGATGCCTCAAGATGAACAGGATAAGGAAGACCCAGATAAATATTTAGTTTACTCAGAAATTGATGACGTTTACCAAATTACATAGGTTAAATCAATCAATCAACCTGAGAAATTAAAGGAACTCTGTGTACTTAACATAGAACCTAATCCTAAGTTTTCAGTGAACCTAATCATACAAAGAGATTGGAAGTTGGAAACTAAGAAAGATTATCCTTTACAGTTGGTCTTCGATATAGTTAAAGCGGGAAAATTGCCAAACCAAGAAGAAAGGAAGCAATTGCCCCCTTTGACTAACTCGTATTTAAACTGGTTTAACTTTCTCTATGTGAAAGATGAATTGCTATATTTACAGAGACCCGTAAAGGACGGTAAAACAAGTCCTCCCAGGATTTGTGTACCTCGTTCTATGCAGAGGGAATCGGTAGAACTGGCTCACGCCGGTCACCACGGGATGACCAAAACTCTTGATAAACTAAGAGCTAGGGCATTTTTCCCAGGAATGAATAATTTAGTAACTTTAATTGTTACTAACTGTGTGCCATGCATCCAGAAAAATAATTCAATTCCCTCTGCTAAGAATAAAGTACAGCATCATGAGATGTTAGGATACCCATTTCAAAGAGTTTACCTGGATACAGTAGGTCCGTTGACCCCTTGCAGGTACAAAGGGATTATCTGCAGGCACATTCTCACTGTACAGGATGGTTTTACTAGATATCTTGTAGCTGTACCAATTCCAGACCTAGAAACAAAAACCATATTAAATGCATTGATTGATAGGTTTTTTCTGGTTCATGGTATGCCAGAGACGATTCACACTGACAATGGATCCTCTCTGATGAGTCATTTATTCCAGGACACTTGTAAGCAAATGGGTGTTAAAATGACGCAAACCCCCACCTATAGCCCCCAGGGAAATAGAGTTGAGAGGGCCCATAGAACACTTGGACAATTACTCAGGTCTGATGATAGTTCTAGCCCCAGCTCCTGGGCTCAAAAGGTGGACGCGGCTATATTTGAAATTAATATATCTAGAAACAGGGTCACAGGGGTTACCCCTTACTATGCAATGTATGGACAAAACCCCCGGGTCTCTCTAGATGTATTTTTCCCTGATACTCACATGCAGGGTGTCTTAAAATGGACTAACTTTGTGTTAAATCTATCAAAACATTTCGAAGATATTCACGAAGAAATGGCAAGACATGAGCAATTATGAATCCCAGTGTCCACAGAAATTAAGATACCCCGGGGAAGTTCAAGTATAAACCTGGGAGACACAGTATATTATATGTCACCCAGGGGCGTAGTTAACTTATCCAAGAAATTGACGTTGAGGTGGACGGGACAATATAAAGTAACCGGGACCCCCACCGATTCATTATCTGTGATCAATCCTATTGGTAACTGGGCAGTAAATAAATGTGAGTTACACGTCCTGACCTCTAGACTGCAAAAAGTAGACCCAGCTTATTATAGGCCGGTCAGTGAGCAGGTTGATTTAGATCAATTATTGGATGAAAATGACGAAGGTAGTGAGGCTCAACTTTTAATAAATAGAGAATCAAATATTTCCCCTGATGTTAATTTAAGAAAACAGGCAGACATATTTGTAGACTCATCTGAGGAGGAGGATGAATATGCTCCCCAGGGTGTAACAAAAACCTCTGACAATTTGGAAACACCCAGGAATGTATCCCCTCAATTATACCCTCAGAGTATTATTAATGACCCTCCATCGATACAACCCAATCAGATAAAGTTGGAAAATGAGGCCGAAATAAGCTTACCTCAAAGTAGGTCGACCTCCACTGAAATAAAAGTGCGACCTCCCGTAGAGAAGAGGAAGTATAATCGTAGAGAACTACCCCCTCCGCGTGAAGGACGGGGAGGAGCTCGACGGGAAGCTTTCTCCAGAGCTATGAAACATTTCCAACAAAACCTGAATAAGAAAAAGAAATAACTTTTTTGGAGTTGTAATATCTCATTCAAATTAACAGTAATTAAAGAAATGATTTTAATACTTGTAAAAAGTTTGAATAAATGATAAAACACTTTGACTAATAATTTCTTTGATGTGTATGTTTAAAATGATAATATATATATCTAAGATAGTTAGGAAAAGTTAAGAATGTTAGGATGACAGACTGACATGAAATAAACATTTTCTTGAATAGACCACCTTGTTCTGAAAATAACATGAAATTAAGATATGATAAAAAAAATCTAATTTTGTGTAATTTCAGGAAAGAGACCCAAGAAGATGGCCAAGTCCAGCATGCTAGTTCCGGCCAACCTGACTGGTATGCAAGTACCTGAAGGGTATATACTGGTACAGCAGGTCAACCCTAGAACGAACACTGCTGTAAACCCCAACCCTCAACCTACCTTTGGTAAAAACTGGAATAGGAACCAGAGGAAGAGGGAGAGGAAGGAACAGCTTGCAGCTGGCGGAGTAGCGAACTCAACCAGGGGTCCAACTCCAGTTCAGCCCCCTGCGGCTGCAGGAGTAGGAGGTCCCAAGCCTGTCCCAAGGGCAACCCAACCCTCGGAATCGACAGCAGTTGAGGCGGGGCCCAGCTCAAGCGCTCAACTCGGAGCTGAGCGTGGTGATGTGGAAGGTGAACCCGCAGTGGAACACCCGGGTTACCATACCAGCGACTACGCTCGACTTAGGGCTAACCGGATAGCCACTCAAAACCAGGACAACTTGTCAGCTGAGATGATGTTGAATCAGGTGAAAAACTGGTTAATTATCTCTACAGCTTTGCTAAGGTACTGGCGTCTCCTGACCCCGGAGCTGATTTTGAAGTTGTGAGAAAGTGGCGCTACGCCAGCAATGGCGCGCACGTCATCGCCGGAGGAAATATTCTCAGTGTAGTGGTCAAGATCTTGTACTTCTTCAAGGCTTTTGGTATTCCGGTTGAGGGTGATAAGTTCGTCACCCCAGCACTGGACTGTATCAAACTGCATCCTAGCCTGATGAGAGGAGATTTTCTCAAAGGCTGGGTAGAGGACAAGATTGTACAGCTTCCTCCAGAGGCAAAAATCGACAAACTAGAGGCCATAACCAAGTCGGAAACTTATGCAATTCTGAGGAGGTTCATAAATGTCCTGGACAACTGTGGTCAGCTGACTGCCAGATTGCCTCAAAGTGCGTTTCAACCATGCTACAGGTTCATTGGTAGCGGTGAAGAGCCTCGCTTGTTGAGCGATGCCTTCAATTTGGGGATGTCAACGCGCTATAATAGGGCGTTGAACACCCTAGTCAAGCATGTCCAGCGCGCCCACAATCCCTTGCTGGGCGTAAACCAGATAAATGCCCAGCTCAAGGGGACAGGATTGTCACTGAATAAGTTCACGGGCTTTGCTCAGGCCGAAGGCCGTGTTGCACTGGAGAGAGATAATGATAGTAGCTATCCCTCCCCCACTGATCTGCTGAACTTGTGTGGATTACCTCTGCCAGCACATTACCAGGCAGAGGAGATCCAGAGGTTGATCTCACCGCTGATGGAGAAGATGGATCATTTGATCAACGTACAGATTCAAACGTCCCAACAGTTGGATGAGCTGAGGAACATGATTCTTCAAACGTCCTGCATATACCGGACCGTCACGGCCATACTCCCTTGCCCTGAGACTGAGGATAGACAGTCTATCGATAGCTTGCTGGCTGACGATGAAGGGCGGGATATGGAGCAGGGAGAGCTTGTAGCACAGCCCCTGGTTCTGAATGCTGGTCAGGCGTACGGGGCCAATTATGCAACCCCTCCGCCACCAACTGACATTCTGAGTGCATCGGTCAGTTGCATGATGGATAGCGATGATCTGCGCGAACAGAAACAGGAAGAGCCTAGACCTCAGGTTCCTATAGATGATGTGTATGAAGAGTTGGAACACACCATGAGAACCTGAAAAACAACATTGTAAACTTTTGAATAAATCATAATTTTTTCTATTGTTGTAAATTTATTAGTTGACCAATATTGGAATAAAGTAGGCCTTACCAATAAACGAAAGCAAAGATACTATTGATTTTGAAAATTAGAAATTATAAGTATAAGCTAACGTTTGTCTAACATGATATACCTGAAGACTTAACACACAGGTTTTATCTTGATAAGTATGAAAATCTAATTAGACTCTAGTCAATTTAATATTTAATAATTCAGGAATGGAATTAATGATATTCCTCATGAATTGTTTTAATAATTGTTGACTAAGCAAGACTGATCAAACTAACTAATGACCTACAATAAAATGGTCTGCTGTACGTTTGAGATTAAGTGGACTGTACCGCATGTATGATTACCGCAAATTGCACAAACCTTAAACTAATAATTAAATTTTATCTTCATAAACCATTTTATCTTACATTTTTCTTTTAAAGTAATTGAAACAAACTGCCGAGTAAGAAATCAAATTTGCAAAATAATAATCTGATAAAATTAGCAAACACAGCAATTAAATTGATGAATCTTACCCGTAATAATTATATTTAAGCAACTCAGTCCACCGAATCCAGTCTTAAATAAACATTTGAAGGACACGCAGCTGCATACGAGTTATAAAGCCGAGACACCACAGATCAAAACAGAGAAAAATAAATAACGTCCAGTCATGATCAACAAATGTAATTAATCAGATTTTAATTAAAAATAAATCTGAGAATGAATAAGACGACATTTATATTTGTGTTTTCACTAGTTATACATACAATAGTGGTGAAACAAATAAGGAAAAATGAAGCTCTAAAATTCTTAGATTATGATTGCACCAAACCAACTAGACTTAACTCTAACAAAAAGTCAGAATGGTGCGTGCCAGTAAAAACCCCTGAAAACCCAAAGGGGGATGAAACAGGCATAAAGATAACAGTAATTCAGAAATTTGGATCCCAGAATGTTAAAGGGATTAAATGCTCAAAACGAGTGTCCAAATTTCGATTGTACTGTGGAACATATGGGCATCAGAAATTTTTAGTCCTCCATCTATTCTAGAACCGGAGACAATTTCTGAATCCGAATGTTCCGATATGTACCCACGGAAAGCGTACATAACGAATGGTAAGACTATGAGAATTGGATTGAACCAACAAATCCAATTCCCAGAAATTACACATGGCCGTATCACCTACGATGAGTTTAACGTTTATTGTACGGGCGCCAAAATCACTATTGACAGCGAACAACATGAATGAATATTAGAACTCAGAACGGTTATGATAACAATGTCGGAAATAGATGTTGAAATCTCCCCAAACCGAATCATAGACCTTCAGAACAACGTAGAATTAGAAAAATGTTGTATTGAAAGTAAGAGGTGTTTAATGGGCATAGATACTTACCTAATACTGGAGAAACAGAACCGCTGTCAACTGGCTAAGATTAGAAGCCTAGATGTCAGCCAGGTTCAGTTGACACATAAAGGGAAATCTGAGATTTATCTAATTAATGAGGAACATAAAATCATTCTCAGAAAGATAGATAAACAGAGGAGTGAAGAATGTGATCTAACATACTTCACGACAGATTACCCCGAATTAATGATAGTCCAAAACTCACAGGAAAATAGTATCAAGCTCTTGGAAATGTCAACCCATGCTGACAGCCTAAACCTAGACCTAGAGTTAAGGTTGAGTAAGGAATTCCTCCATTTGCAAATGGAAAGAATGGTACAATCCTCTATACTCGAAGTACAGAAACTTTTATGTACTCTAGGGGCAAACTCACTCCATCAGCTGGAACAGAGTCCTATCCATCCAAATGCTTTGATTAGAGATCGAGGAGACATCATCCAAGAGATGCAATGCCAGACTGTAGAGGTCACCTCTAGCCCTGGTTATCAAAGACACGATAAATGCTCAAAGGAATATTTACCTGTGTACTTAGGTGAGGAACCAGTATACCTGGATACATCCAAACTGATCACAAGGAAACCTATCCTTGATTTATTGGACTGCGATGAAGTATTCCCACCTATATTTGAAACCACAGATGGACAACTAGTCCAAGCTGCCCCCGCCGTCCAACCTATATCACTCCAGTTGTCTAAACCTGAACAATTGGGGTACCATATTGATGAGTTGGAACATGTTGAAGAAACCGATAGCCTACTCTATACACATAAGGAAGTACAGGCTTATATGGAACTCTTCCATGCCAAGAGGAGCAGCAAAGCTGTAACATATGCGCTGACAGCCCAATACTGTGCCACCCC